CAGTACTGCAGATTATTATTATTATTATTTTACAGGAAATATTATTATTATACAGGATTTATATTATTATTATTATTATTATTATTATACAGGATTTAATATTATTATTATACAGGATTTAATATTATTATTATTATTTTACAAGATTTATATTATTATTATACAGGATTTATATTATTTTATTATTATTTTACAGGATTTATATTATTTTATTATACAGGATTTATATTATTATTAATTATTATTATACAGGATTTATATTATTATTATTATTATTATAAAAGGATTTATATTATTAATTATACAGGATTTATATATTACCGTATTTGCCGGCGTCGCAAAAAGACGACTTTTTACCCCTTGAAAAAAAAAAAAGTTGGGGGTCGTCTTATACAAAAAATAACTGCATACTGACACTTTTTTTAGGGGGGCGGCGCGCGGTGCCACCGCCGCCCCAACCCCCAAAAAAAAAACAAAAAGGGACAAAATGTACAGAAAAAAGCTGCTGTTTCTTAAATGGCTCCGGTCCCACGACGATCCGGTCCAAAAGCGCGGCTGCTCCTTCAGTTTGGCCACTGGATGTTCGCGCGGCCTGCTCGGCTCCGCCTCCTCATCGGTGATTGGCCGCCAGAACTGTAGCTCAGAAAGGCAAAACAGGCGGCCAATCACCGGCGAGGGGGCGGAGCCGAGCGGCCCCCGCGAAAATCGAGTGCAGGACCAGCAGGTAAAAAAGTGTTCAATGTAGAGGTGCTAAACCACATATGCTGGCTGCAGCAGCACCATACGAGGAACAGGGTCAGCAAGTGTCAGTAGGAGGAATAGTGCCCCATCAAAAAAAAAAAACTGATACCATTGATGGGGCACTATTCCTCCCACTGATACCAAAAAAATGGGGCACTATTCCTCCCACTGACAACAAACGATGGGGCACTATTCCTCCCACTGACACAAAAAAAAAACGATGGGGCACTATTCCTCCCCCCTACTAAAACCAATGATGGGGCACTATTCCACCCCCCACTGACACCAATGATGGGGCACTATTCCACCCCCCACTGACACCAATGGGGCACTATTCCACCCCCCCACTGACAAAAAATGATGGGGCACTATTCCCCCCACTGATACTAATGATGGGGCACTATTCCTGCCACTGATACCAATGATGGGGCACTATTCCTGCCACTGATACCAATGATGGGGCAAAAAAAAAAACTGATACCAATGATGGGGCACTATTCCTCCCCACTGATACCAATGAAATGGGGCACTATTCCTCCCACTGATACCAATGATGGAGCACTATTCCTCCCACTGATACCAATGATGGGGCACTATTCCTCCCACTGGTGTGCATTGGAAGAGGGGTAGTCTTATATGGCGAGTATAGCCCAAACACTACATTTTAGCAGGAAAAGTAGGGGGGTCGTCTTATACGCCCAGTCGTCTTATACGCCGGCAAATACGGTATTATTATTATTTTACAGGATTTATATTATTATTAAACAGGATTTATATTATTATTATTATTTTACAGGATTTAATTATTATTATTATACAGGATTTATATTATTATTATACAGGATTTATATTATTATTATACAGGATTTATATGGCGCCAACAGTTTGCTCAGCACTTTACACTAAAAGGGAGACAGTACAATTACAATACATTTCAGTACAGAAGGAATAGGAGGGCCCGGCTCGTGGAGCTTACAATCTAAAGGAAGGGAAATCTAGTAGAGGGTATCCTATGGTTGCCATCTCACCCCAGGGATCGTTCCCATTGGATGTAGTCAGTACAGCAGCAGGGCGAGGGGCAGGAAGCAGGGCAGGCATTGATATAGGAAGTTCCGTACTGCTGGGGCAAGCAAGTCATCAGTTGCTAAGACGCCAGCGGTCCCAGCAGCCAGCTGACTTCAAGACAGGCATCACAGTGGGTGGAACCTGACCCTAGCTGTATGCTATCCTATTTCAGGGCAGATTTTTCATGCAGGCCATAGTTTGGAGCCCTGCTTTGTAATAAGTGTGTATAGTCACCTTTTATATGGTACTTATTATTAAACAGCTGACCAGGGGCGGACTGACAACTCATGGGGTCCCGGGCAATAGGGGATCATGGGACCCCCGGGTCCTTGCCCAAACTCAAAAAAGCCTATGAAAAAGGTACCAGGGGCATCTCATGGGGCCCCTACTGACCCCGGCCTTCAGGCAGTGCCCGATTTTCCAAATGGTCAGTCCACCCCTGCAGCTGACATGCCTAAGGACCTGTGTTGATGGGCTCTGGGCTCGTGCCAATGGCAATCAGATTGACATGCTTCGGATATCATTCAAAACTGACTGCCTTCTAACTTGCATCAAGTGGGTTTTGCATTTCCATAGACTTATAAAAAACCTGCGTGAAGCTACGAACAAAAAAAAAGCCCATCAATAGAGGAGCTAATTACTGGCCACGCACATACTATACATATAAGATGTACATTGCTGTCATTGTTTCACATGACTGTCATATGCCTTTAAGTGTTCTCTGTATTTTGTCTCTGCTCCTCCCTTTCCTCTGGTTTAGTTAATGCTGTATAGATAGCCCCCCCCCCTTTTCCCAGAAATGCATTGCAGCTTCTAGCCTCCTGTCATGGAGAAGGAAACATTATGATCTTTTGGCCTATCCGATGTTCATTTTGTAAGATTCTCAGTTTGTGGAATAAACTTCATAAGATCTACAAGGTGTCATCCAATCGAGTCACTTCCTGTGTCATTCAACTAAGATTGGAGTTATCGCTATCTCATCACAACTGTATTTACAGAGATCACACTTTCAGTGCTTAGATTGGAGAGACAGAACAATTGCCTTTGTTTCATCAGGGCGGATGATAAGGCAGTCCACCCCACCCCTCATGTTCCAGCCCGGGCCCCATAAGTTCAAAAGGGAGGTCAGGGCAGGAGAGTAGTCAGCATTTGAATCGCTCTTGACAGGAGCTGAGTAGTCCTATTACCTCCTCACCGCCTCCTTTAACATGCACTAATTGCACGGCAATTTGCAGAGCAGCGCTATTCAATTGAATGGTATAATTTTTGCCTGCAAAGTGGCATTTTAGAAAAAATATAATTTGATATTTTCAGGAAGGAGGGGCTGTCGGACAGGCTTTATGGGCCCCGTGATTTCTAACAGCAGCCCTGCACACTACATATGCATACAATATAAAAGCAGTCTCCAATCTGCAGCCCATTCCTTGCTTTTATCCGGCCCTTGAGGCTTTATTCCCCCCTGTCAGCAACAATGGGGCACTATTCCTCCCACTAATCCTGACAATGGGACACTATTCCTCCCACTGACACCAATGATGGGCACTATTCCTCCTACTGACACCAATGATGGGGCACTATCCTCCCACTAATCCCGACAATGGGACACTTTTCCTCCCAGTGACACCAATGATGGGGCACTATTCCTTCAACTGACACCAAAGACAGGGCAACTATTCTTCACACTGATACCAAATGATAGGGCACGATTGCTCCCACTGACACCAACGATGGGACACAATTCCTCCCACTGACACCAACGATGGGACACAATTCCTCCCACTGACACCAATGATGGGACACTATTCCTCCCACTGACACCAATGATGGGGCACTATTTCTCCACTGACACCAATGATGGGGAACTATTCCTCCCACTGACACCAATGATGGGGCACTATTCCTCCCACTGACACCAATGATGGGGCACTATTCCTCCCACTGACACCAATGATGGGGCACTATTCCTCCCACTGACACCAATGATGGGGCACTATTCCTCCCACTGACACCAATGATGGGGCACTATTCCTCCCACTGACACCAATGATGGGGCACTATTCCTCCCACTGACACCAATGATAGGGCACTATTCCTCCCACTGACACCAATGATGGGACACTATTCCTCCCACTGACATCGATGATGGGACACTATTCCTCCTACTGACACCAAAGATGGGGCACTATTCCTCCTACTGACACCAAAGATGGGGCACTATTCCTCCCACTGACATCAATGATGGGGCACTGTTCCTTCCACTGACACCTACGATGGGACACTATTTATCCCACTGACACCAATGATGGGACACTGTTCCTTCCACTGACATCAATGATGGGGCACTGTTCCTCCCACTGACACCAATAATGGGGCACTACTCATCCCACTGACACCAATGATGGCGCACTACTCATCCCACTGACACCAATGATGGGGCATTGTTTACTTCCACTGATGCTGGGACATTATCTTCATCCACAAGCCACAGTCTAGCTCCCCTAAAGTTTGAAGAACAGTAAACTGGCCCTTTGTTTAGAAAGTTTGGAGAGCCCTGCACTATAAGACGTACATTGCCATTGTTTCCTCATGGCTGACACACGGCTCTCTAATCAGGGAAATAGGGTGCTATGTGCCTTCCATTTGGCTGCAGGAGACACAAGTGGAAGTGGTGCGAGGATTATATCAGAGGAAGAGATTTCATTTGTATTTGCTGTCTCTTGCCTCCCCTTTGATTCCCTTTTGTTGTGGTCTTAGATCTGTACAAGGCAGGGCATGGAAGGTCTGTCCCAGACCCCTTCAGATGTGTGAAGACTCTTTCTGAATCATTTAACTGGAGGACAGGCACAACTTTACACAGGGAAGCCTTTCCAGAGGAAGAAAAAAGTTCCAGCTGCTTCTCTAATGATCACGGACAAATTCTGGACTAAAATAGAGCAAAGGGAACAGCGGGGTAATAGGGAGGTCAGCCTCGTATCTCAAAGAAGTCCTGATCTGTGTATGGCCCATCCTTTCATGAAGATCATACTGCGCACAGGGATCAGAGTAATAAAGTTGTGTACTCTTTGAATGATTGACATCACAAGTAGAACCGCAGAACACGAACAAACTTTGTAGAGAATATAAAGTATTTGAAGTTGAACCCTTTGTTAGATAGCTGTACAAAAAAAAAAACCCCGTTACATTTTGTAAAATCCCTCAGTACACTTCTCAAGAGTCTTCAGACTAATGCAGTGCGGTATATCGCATGTGATTCGGATAGGAACCGCACCGCGTTCCTCTGCAAATCAAATGCGATTTGTGTGCGGTGCGATTGGAGTCATACATTTTGTATGGCTCCAATCGCACCGTATCAAAAAGGTGCATGACCCTTTTTTGGGTCCGCACTAGAATCGGATCGCATGGGTATTCACACCTATGCGATCCGATTCTGCACATCGCACTGCGTTTTGCAGACCGATTTCGGGGTGTTGTTAACTTAACCTCTCTAGCGGACTGATTATGGCCATATTTCTGTGCTCAAAGCGGTACCTTTTTTTGCATTGAAATATGTAGTTTTTTTTATTGTAGGCCTGTAATTTCTTAGGAATAACTCACTGAAATCTGTCCGAACAAGAGTCTAGTAAACATCCCGGGTATGATAATATTTGAAACATGAAATCATAAATTATAATTTAATAAATAATCATAAAAAATAATAATATAATAATAATAAATTAAATTCAATAATGTAATCAAACCAAAAACACTGAAATGTGAAATAGAGCGCCAGGTTCGCACATCACTGAGCAAAGTCGCAGAATCGTTTTCAGTGTCTGATGATGAATTTCCCCCACGAATCATTATCACTCAATTCTGCAAGTGGTTCTGATTTACTATCGCTGTTCTCTAGCCGGTCTAAAACCGCGTCTGACCTAAAGGGACGCTTTTTGGACGCCATGGACGTTTTCTCAGTTTCCAGGCAGAAAGAACAGTAAAAATGCAGGCAGGGCGCCGGACAAAGCACTCGGGACAAAACGTATGTGAAATGGTTTGATACAGGAATGTTATACTATGTGATTTTAGTGATTTTAGTGAATGTCACTTTTTTCAAATTTTTGAATTTCCCGCCGTTCCGTCCCCGTACGTCCCAACATCGCAGGGAACGTAAACCCGGAAGACAGATGCCGGCATCGGCCGGAGGAGATGGCTGGGGACATTGCAGGAGGGACATCGCGGGGAGCGCAGAACAAGGTAAGTGATCGAGGGAATCCCTGAGCAACACTGCAGTGTATTCCCGAGTGTAGCTCGGGGTTTCCGCTTCTGGTGCTGAAAGTTAACCCAGAGCTACACTCGGGAATACCACCAGGGGGGTTAACATACACAAAAAAAGGGGGGGTTGTGAAAAGAAATTCACAGAGAAAGTGGCTACATTATGAACAGAATGTGATACTCAGAAAAATTTCCAAAAATTATGCTTTATTACATATACAAATTTGACATTTGGGCAATCGCCCTGGTTTACCATCACCTCAGTATGAGACAATACACATAGACCTAAAACCATTAAAAATGACACCAAGACCGGTCTAAGTACATGTGCAACAAGGACAGTGACTGCTAGAGTCTAAAGTCTTTGTAGCACTGGCGCATAGGTGAACACTTCCCACAGGAGGTGTATGTAAAAATTATACCATAGGTATACCATGTAACATGTTGTAAATATGTAGACATATGCTACTACCCAAATGGTTATATCCCAAGCAGGGAGTTTCAAAAAAAATTATACTATAGATATAAAATATCACATGTATGCAATGCAGCAAGCACAGTATGCGTCAAAAAGAGAAACATGCCTCTAGGCCTATATAAGACAAAAAAATGAATGTCATATATAAAATGCAGTACATTTCTATGCCGGCACATGTGGTTGGGGGCCCATTCATCTGTAATATAAGCGACTGTTTCCTAGGGCTCTTAAATGAGAATAAGCCCCATTTGTTACCAGGATGGAAGGATAGATGCAAATAGCAGAGCACTGCTTGAAATGGTTTCTTCACCACTGTATGTGGACTACACACCACTTTCTGTAAGGAAAACAAGACAAATCCCAATAGATCTTCTGCCTGTTGAGATACACGTGGTATATCCTGTTTCCTATGAAAAGCACCATGATGTCCCCATCCTGTAGTGAAAACAAACAATATGTGGAAAGTCACTGGAGGAGCTTTCACTCTATAAGAGATGTATAGGTCATATCGATCACATAGGACCATATAACTAGTTAACATACACACCCGCAGCAGTTCCCATGAAACGGGGTGCGATTCTGATGCGGTGCAGAATTCGCACAGAAAACCCAGCCTCAGTCCTAATGCAGACCATGTGCCAGCTCTTGGGAGGAGTTATGCAAATATAAAAATGCCTTGATGGGTAGGTGTCAGTGTGGCGGAGTGGGCATTCCTAGGCAGACTGCTTTGTATGCCCACCCTAGGTAACACCCACATGTGATGCTGAGCCTCCATTTTTTAAATACCTGATATCCAGTGTATGAAAGGAGTGGGCCAGGGACGGTCAGGCTGGGGAGGAAAGTGCTAGATGATGCTAGAAGTTTTGCAGCCAAGAAATAAGACGAGCTGTATTCGACTTACTGCAGATTCTTATGCACATTGTGAGAAACTCACAGTGTGCAGTAAAATGGTAATTTCTGTACAAGAGAGAAGCTTATACAAGACTGAAGATGAAGCTAGGGTTCAGCATTAAGTACCAACATTACCAAGCAAAGGGTTGAAGTCCCAGTTTAAGCTGGTGTCATGATTGCTGCTCCATTCTTCCTGTTTCAGGGTGGCTCCTTTCTCTTGCAGCATCCTGTGAAGCCACTCTTGCATGAAGGGGCTAGAGTTGTGTCTCATTACACTGTGTGCTTCAATAGAAACACACAGCCCCAGGATGGCAAGGCACTCCCTTGCATCTCCCTCTTCCTCCTTCCACCTCCCTTCTCCAAGTTAAGAGATAGGCTGGAGACTACATTTTCCATTGTAAACTCTTTCCCATGAAGACTGGAAGTTCAGGGAAGCAGCATTAAGACTTGGTTTACACTGATGTGATTTCAGATGCAACTGGGGGTCTCGTTGAATCGCATGACAATGAAAAGGGCATTATTTCCAGTGGTGCCTGTTCACATCAATGCAGCACAGCTGTGATGTGACTTTGGTGAAGGGTCCTGTGCTACTTTTGTGCAATGCAGTGTGATTTTGTGGTCCGTAGACCTAAATGGAAACAAAAAAATAATTGCATCAGCATGTCTTTTTTTTGTCTGGTTGTTAGGAGCCGGCACCAGCCGGTGCCCTAACAACCAATGACTCATCATTGCTGCCAGCGGTTGTTAAGAAGCAGGTACCCGCCGGCATCCTAACAATGATGATTCATCCCTGCTGTCAGAGAGGGATTCCCCGCTGACAGCAGAATGTAAACAAAAGAGCCGGCATGGGTGTCTCCCCTTAATCCATACCAGGCTCTTCAGGTCTGGTTTGGATTTAAGTTGGACCCCATACCGAAAAAAGCAAAAAATAAAATATGCGTGGGGTCCCCCAAAATGAATACCAGATTCACCCTTATTTGAGCATGCAGCTCAGCAGGCCACATACCCAGGGGCAGACTGACAACTCATGGGGCCCCCGGGCAATAGGGGATCATGGGCGCCTGTGTCCTTGCCCAAACTCAAAAAAGCCTATGAAAAAGGTACCAGGGCATCTCATGGGGCCCCCAACTGACCCGGCCCTCGGGCGGTGCCTGAGTTTCCAAATGGTCAGTCCGCCCCTGCAATACCCCCCCCTCAACATGGGGGGGAACCCCCCTAGCAAAGCACCTTTTAACAACCAAAGACTCAGCCCTGCTGGCTACTAACAGCAGGATGAGTCGCAGCAGTTAAAACATGCATTAAAAACAAAACACACCTAGTTGTACTACAAAATCTCAATGAAAACTGTATCAAACTGTACTAGTGTGAACCTAGCCTTAGAGAGCAGGAACCAGCAGCATTAAAGTGTTACTAATCCGCCCCCAACAGTACAATCAGTCTGTATATACAGTAAAAGCATGCTTGTTATACTCACTGTGGAACCTAAGGGGTTAATCCTCCGCATTGTGTAAAAAGGCCGTTTTGATCCTGTCTTCTTCTCATGCTCCTCCTCTTGTTCAAATGTCCCACCTGATAAGACAAACTGAACCTGTAACCACATGCACATGCTCAGATAGTGTGTTATTGCTATAAAGGTATTTTTTTTATTTCGGTGGGAGAGTGCATTGTAAATCAAACAGGGCCCACAATCAGCACTGTCCAAACAGCGGTCAGGGATTCTGCATCTTTCTAGAGTCAGAAAGAATACTCCTTTCTACAAGCTTTGACACTGGCTTATACAGAAGCTCACAAGACTGCTCTAAAGTGCTGATGAGAAAAAGGTATTTAAGCAGTTTAATATTATTCTAATAATAATTGCATTTTCCATGTTGTGTGTAATGTGGGCGAGCAAGAATAAGTATGAATGCCATGTCTGGGAGACCAGATAAAGTATAATGCAGGGTCTGGAGAATCAGATATAAGTGAATGCATGTCCGGGTAGACCAGATATAGGGGGGAATGCAGGGTCCGGAGAGAGCGGATATAGTGAATGCAAGTCCGGGAGACCCCAGATATAGGGAATGCAGTGTGCCGGGGAGAGCAGCTAGAGTGAATGCAAGGTCTCGGGTGAACCAGGATATAGTGCATGCGGGGTCCGGGGAGACCGGATATAGTAATCTGCAGGGTCCGGGGAGACCGGAATATAGGTGAATGCAGGGTCCGGGGAGAGCGGAATATAGTGACTGCAGGGTCCTGGGGGAGAGCGGATATAGGTAGAAATTCAGGGTCCGGGGATATCGGATAATAGTGACTGCAGGTCCGGGGAGAGCGAAATAGAGAATGCGGGTCCGGAGAAGCGTATTATATGAATGCGGGTCCGGGGAGAGAGTGGAGGGTGGAGGGGGGGGGGGGGGGGTGGAGGGGGGGGGGGGGGGGGGGCGGGTGGGGGGGGGGGGGTGGATATAGTGAATTCGGGGTTCCGGGGAGAAGCGGATAAAGTGATTGCGGGGACCGTGGAGAGCGGATATAGTGAAATGGCGGGTCCGGCGAGAGCGAGTATATCGTGAAATGCGGGGTCCCGTGGAGAGCGGATAATAGTGAAATGCGGGGTCCGAGGAGACCGGATATAGTGAATGCGGGTTCCGGGGAGACCGATATAGTGAATGGCGGGACATGCGGGTTCCGGGAGACCGGGATATAGTGAATGCGGGAGTCCCGGGGAGACCGGAATATAGTGAATTTGCGTGGTCGCGGGGAGAGCGTATATATATGTGAATGCGGTGACTCGGGAGAGCGGTATATATGTGAATGCGGGGTCCGGGGATACCGGATATATGAAATGCGGTTCCGGGGATAGCGGATATATTGTGAATGCGGGGTCCGGGGAGAGCGATATAGTGACTGCGGTGTCCGGGGAGAGCGGATAATAGTGAATAGCCGGGGTCCGGGAGCAGCGGATATAGAGAATGCTGGTCCTGGGAATACCGGATATCAGTTGAATGCGGGTTCCGGGAGACCGGATATAGTGAAGGCGGAGTCCGGGAAGATGGATATAGTGAATGCAGGGTCCAGGTAGACCGGGAATATATTGGAATGCAGGACTTGGGAGAGTGTACATATGTGAATTCCAGGGTCCTGGGTTTTTAGGTAACACTTTAAAAGTGATAAACCTCAAAGTGCTGGGGTAATAAATTTTAACAAATTATTTTCACTAGTGTATGTTTCTATTACTGTGTCATAATTGTGTTGAAATCAATAGTAAAACCCGCCAATCTAAAAAAAAAAAAATCCCCTTGCAAGGTAATGTCATAATGAGCTAGAGATTCATTTCAATCTATCTACACATTAATGAATGACTTACCCTTGAAAATGAAGCCTTTTCAGCGGAACTCTGACACCACTGCCATCTAACTGGACGAGCTGCTATGACCAAGCCTTTTTAATGGCACTTTTTTGTTTACCCAGTAAAAATCAGAATTTTTTGCCTAGAAAATTGCTTAGCACCCCCAAACATCAAATACCAGTGGGGATCGAAATTTTGACACACCCCAGCTAAAAAGTTTTGTATTAAAGTGCATAAAGAAGCCAAAGGAAAGATGGACAATAATCTCCAAAATGGCAACAAATTACAGATTAGACATTCTTATAATATGTCAACAAAAGTTAGAATTTTATTTCCATCATTTTACACTTTCAAAATAACAGAAAACTAAAAAATGGCCGTCTAGCCATAAAGTTTGGGCACCCTGCAGAATTTAATACTGCCCCCCTTTGCAAAAGCCGAGACCTGCCAGATGTCATGGATTGTACTCAATCATCCGTCTTTTGAATACAGATGATATCAATCCTCAAAGGTTTTAAAAGCCATACTCATCTGACCCTTTGCCCTAATAATCAGCACCAATGATGTTCTTCTAAGCAGATGTCCTAAAAACTGAAACTGAAAATAAGTTGACGCTCCACAAAAGCTGTGAGAAAGGCTATAAGAAGATAGCAAAGCGTTTTCAGATGTCAATAACCTCTGTTCGGAATGTAATTAAGAAATGAGCAGACATCAGGAGACATTAGAAGTTAAAGCAAGATATGGAAGACCAAGGAAAAAATATCAGACAGTAACAGCTCGCAGGATTGTGCTAAAAACCACTTCAAAACACACGTATGAACTTGCACTATCCCTCCAGAAATATCTGGCAGACACTGGGAGTTTTTGTGGTACACGAATTCCACTATAAAGATATACTTGTTACAAATATGGTCTCTCATGGAAGAGTCATCATAAGAGAACCTCATCTTACGTCACCTCACCACATAAATCATCGTTTGAGACATTTGCAAATGAACATAGAGAACAAGCCTGATGCATTTTGTGAAACAAGTTCATGTGGACCGATAGATTAAAATGGCACTATTTTTGGCCGAATGAGCAAAGGTAACTATATGGAGAAGGAAGGGCAAACAGAATTAATATGAAAAGAACCTCTGTCTCAACTGTTTAAGCATGGGGTTGATCAATCAATAGCTTTGTATGTTTCAGCCAGTGCACAGGGAACATCACAACGAGTAGAAAGGAAAAATATTCAATAAAATTTCAGCAACTGTTTGGATGTAACTTGGATGCCATCTGTGAAAAAGCGAAGTTAAAAGAAGGAATGGCTTCACAAATGGATAATGATTCCTAAACACAAACCTCGAA